CGCTTTCTGAATGCATCATCTTCGTTTTTGTTTTGTTCGTATGAATCCATTCTCTATTCCTCTCGCAGATCATATAGATCTAAATCTCTTCAAATCGTAGCACGTATACTATACATGTCTGGTGACATCTTACTTTGCGCCGAACACATTGCAGGGTTCACATACAAGCGGTAAATTTGGATCAAAGCTGAATAAGAAAATAAAGGATGCTGCGAGTTATAAGCCAAAGGTATGATAGAGTTTTCATGCGGATGTAAGAATATGCATCACTGCTTGCCCTTAGCTGTCCGAACATCGTTAAGTTTATTACTGCTCTTTTGGGTTGAGACCATACCGTTGATTGCCTCTGCACACGTGCGTCATGTCTGCGCCGTGACATAATTGTCGTCACTTTTACTCCTCATCTCCAGCTATCATCGGCTTGTCGCACTATACTTCCATAGCCGACTTGCTAACCTATAAAGTGTGCTGTGTTTCTGTACGTATAAATCCCACATACAGAAGGGTCGCCCGTTGAATGTGAGGGGACTCAGTTTCAAAAGCTCTGTCAATTTAGGGGCTGTCGAGCCAGAATCTGACGCATCAATTGCGGGACAGAAATCGGTACGCCCTCAGTCGATAGAGCATACCACATCCAGTAATACGCGGAAGGCTACCACTATGCCACTGCCTACGAAAGGTACCACAAGCCCAGGCGCCGGAAAGAGCGCGAATTCGCTCGCGGATACATCACGGACACTGCTGAACGAGCAAGCACATGCACGGGGACAATCAGGTACAAGCACGAGTGACCCAAGCCATGCAGACAGTATGGTTGGTACAGTCGAACATCCTGTCCCATTCAAAGCGGAGCAGGTGCTGCTGTCGGCTATGAACACTGTGGAGATGATGCCGGCCTATCAAGCGCACACAAGGCAGGCACAGAGGCATACACAGACCCACGCATGCGCACCCACGCTTGACAGTGCTGTCAGAGTGCCGGGAGGGGTACGGGTGGGTGTAGATACGACAGCACGTGCCGAGAATCCGCATACGAACGCAGTGGGGAGTGTCGATGGAGGTGTTGTGGTAGCACATGGCGGGGGGGGAGCGCTTCGCAGTGGGTTAACGGCTTCCGCTCCGTTGAGTTTTGGTATGTGTGGAACACGTGTGGGAATGTCAAGAAGGTGTGCTTTACCACCTAGGTGTCACTGAAGTGATGGGAATATGGGACCATTTGAACGTACACTCGCGAAGTTGATGTCATTGTAGGATTGCATGTTGTTGGTATTGTAGCTAGGTGGAAAATGTGATATGCTGTACATCAAAGATTCAGCGCCTGGCATAGATGATTCGTAAAAGAGTGTCAGTGCCTGGCATAGATGATTCGTAACGAGTGTCAGTTGTGGAGCCTCATTTCTCAGATGAATGGACACACATATTGGCAGCTGCAGCGGATAGACTGGTCTGCAGCACTATGATTTCTATAGCACTCACCAATAAGTGTACACGTAATCACCAAGATATGTATATATAGTATTAATGTTCGATACATAAACGTACATACAGTAGAATCCATGCACATCCCACCTCGCGATACCCAATCTGATCCACCCAGAACTCTCGTGTCCACGTAGAGTGAAGGCCTGACTATTACTCCAATGTATTTGCACGTATCCTCAATCCTTATCTCTCTCCACAATAAGAAACACAAGGTGGATATTCAATCGCGCCCAGTTTTACGTCCACGCACGTTTGTGCACACACATAGACCACCCCCACACTGTGTTTGCCTCTATACCATACCACACCTTGGTTGCCCCTGGAGTGTATACAATTGATTACATTGACCCCTTTCATCGTACTGGACTATTCGGGCCAGTCACCTGCATTTCCCCAGGGGTTCATCCCCTTCTATTCACAAAGTCTCGTTCATATATCCTTCACAGGCAAATCCATCGATACGCGTTTTCCATTCCATTTACTTGCATCCCCCCACGCGACTGTTCTATTTTGGTATCACTGTTAAATATATCTATTTCCCCCAGGCAAAACCGCTGACGTACGCCGCCGGTCTTCGCATTTCAAGAACGTGGTGCAGAACGACACCAAACGCAAAGCGGAGCAGGCCCAACGCCAGAAGGAGCGCGAAGAATTCGCAGCCATGTTTGACCTGCACGAGGGGCAGGCGCGCGACGGCAATGACGCGGGTGTGTATACAGCTGACGGTGCATTAGGCACCACTTCCGGGGCTAGAGATTTGAGGGTAAGTTTGAGTTATATCTATAAGGGGTCTTACCTAATATGTCTGAGTTTGTGAGTGTGTAGGCTGATGCGGGATGGATACCTATCTGTGTTTGTCCTGTATGCGGGGGAGGGGCGCGACGGCAATGACACAGGTGTGGGTACAGCTGACATTGCACTGGGTACTAGTTCTGGGGCAAGAGCCACGAGGGCAAGTTGGAGAGGGTGGTGGCGAAACTGCCCGTATTCGTAAGTGTGTTGCGTTGGCATTGTTATAGTTCGACATCGATGCACCTAAATCTGAGGGAATGGGGCAGATTTGGTTCGACTGTTATTTCAGAGTGCCCTAGGATACCATATATCAATTGCAGTGGCAGCCATCGGGATAAGAGATGAAGCCACCAATTAAACCTCTACGCTCTCCTACCCTTTTATCGTAAGCTATTCTCTTGACTCATCATGCTCTTTTACAAGGTCATTGCACTACTTCTTGCAATCTTACGAGGGGAGGCAGAGATATCATATATTTTTTGTCTATCATGATAGTACAGAGGAAGGCAACGGTCCCAATTTTCGGATAGTATCTTGGTGATACAGGGGAAGACATAAATACAATCTACTATACTACCTACTGAAACGTTCCGATTGCGATGTTCGATAGTAGAGCAAAGTATAGCAACTTTTGCACCACGTACCATAGCGTTACAGGGCAAGACATGAATGCCGAACTAGTATATAATGCTGTTGGGGAAGACAGGCAGTATAAACTATAGTACGAACCATTGTGTAGCTATATCACAAGACAACTACTATATCATGTAACCGAATGCAACAGCGAAGGATAATAAGAACACTCACTATCCTGTTCACTACTGTGCTGCTACAGGGCAAGGCAGAGGTTGACTACATGCTCGACGGCGAGGCGGTGGATCAGTCTCAATGGACCACACTGGGCGAAGAAACAGACCTGCCAATAAAACAAGCGGAAGACGCGAGTGGAAAAGATAAGAAGTAGGTATCACTGTTGCTTGATATGTCAATTGGAATGTAGTGATTAGTGGTAGTGTTTCATTGGGGAATGGTCAAGAGTCGGTAAGAGCGATGGAAAGTAGGGGACACTGTCAGTATGTATCTCCATTTAATAGTAGTAGTGATGAATGGTGTGTAGTTGAGTAGCTAAGGAAGCGAGTAGAGCCGATTAGATGTAAGTGTCACTGTCAATACGTTTGTTAATTTGATAGTAGTGGTTAGGGTTGGTGTCTCGTTGAGTAGCTCAAGTAGCAAGTAGAACGTATAGGGAGTAGGTGTCCCTGCCAGTATGTTATCTGTGTATGTCTTTGCGAGTTGATATCACTCGACTGTAAGAGCCGCACGCGTTGTATCGTCTACTTGCACGCTGATACCGTATCTGTGTATGCCTTTAATATGTTCCTGTCTCACATAGGAAAATACCTATCATGATATGGGCCTCATGTACTCTAGTGTGTCCTTCTGACTTCTTCACATCATTCATATTTGTATTGCATTCAGCCCTTTATTCACGTACATTTTTTTGGATAAATGATGGTGTATGGTGCTTCATTGATACATACTCTCGCGTACGTGTTGTGTTCATTCAGGCCTGCCAAAAGCTACAACATCAAGAGCGCACAAGTGAGCAATAACTTTGTGCGGATGGATCTGAAAAAGAACTTCCGTCGCGGTGCGCAAGGGATAACACCCGCTTTCATGGCTAATGTGAGTGTGTAACTGCAAATATCTCGACATGGGTGCATCTGCCATTATCATATGCGTGCGTATGCAGAGTATACATATATATAAATATACATATATATATATATATATATATATGTGTGTGTGTGTGTGTGTGTGTGT